ATATATATATATATATATGTATGTATGTATTATGTATATATATTATATATGCATATTATTATGTTATTATCTTATCACGAGTTTTTTTTTAACCTTGACCTTTTTTTATATTTAAACATCGTCATTTGATAAACTTTTTCTATTTTCATGTTAGCTTTTAAAAGTACTGATAAAGTTCAGAAAAGAAACAGCTTTCTACTTCTATTTTTTTACATTGATTTTAATTTTCTAAAATAGTTTTAGGGAAAAGCTATTTACTTTTGTGAAAACCACAAACATGGATGGCTATAATAGTTAACTTATAGAGCAAATCTTGACTCAAACTTGTCCTTCCCTTAGAAGGATAGATATCATCTGTTCCATTTTGTTTTTTATCCTCTCCTTCTCATAATTTTATGCTAGATAAAAAATAAAAAATTTTACATTTCAATTTTGTTTTACATATGTTTTAGTTCGAATTTTGTTTAACAGGAAAATAATACAAAGTTTGAAGCCTGGAGTCACTAATGGTCACTAACATTTTAATTTATCTGCATAATATTATAATATTATTGGAGGACCATGAAAGGAGACATCTTTAATATATAATAAAAAAAAACAAAGTTCATTACTTTCTACACAGTATATTATTTGTAAGCCTTTCAATTTCTATTCAACTAAAAAATAATTCACACGAACATGTTTTTTGCAAATAAGGAAAAAGTTATTCCCATTTTCTTGGAAGAACTTGTGGGAGAAATTGCCTTGTGAACGCGTTTTTTAAACAACTTAGCTGACCGTGCGTTGCATGTGATCGTTTTTCTTCGTAAACTAAGCGTTTTTTTCATACTTTAAGATTACACGTTTTCATGAATCATTAAGAAATTTCAACGATTTTTCCACCTATCGCATTCGTGAGTTCTTGTTTTATATCCTTTTGTAAATTGCACAGAAATTCAATGTGATAGAAAAGTTTACTTCTTCAGTACACTAACGTACCATAAAATGTTTTGTACCAAACGCTATTTTTCTTCCTGGAAATCTTGAAGCAATGTTGTGTCATCAGACAGCTTTCCCCCTGTATCACGTTGAAGGGTTGACGCTTATGCTTGAAGCTCAGAAAAAGTATGCATTATATATTGTCTATAAATTAGACATTGGATCTTAGAACAGCTACATCCTCAATACTAGTTCATGTACTATTTCCCTTGTCTAGATATCACCAACATGGAGAACAAACATGGTAATACAACCTTATTTTTTCTCGCTTTATGTCATGGAATCTTAACGTGGAATGTTAGAGCAAAGGGTTTGTTGTCATTCTTGGTTTTTTTCAAGCTTGTGTTTAGCTATGTCGGTCAAAAATGGAAGACATGGATGAATAGTAGAGGTGAGTCAAGTTGTGAAGGTGTGAAGCAGGGCTTGGAGTACATTGAGAGAGGGCTTAGAGTGTGCAAAGAAGACGTGGTTTTGGTGATGGAAAAACTAGGAATGATTGTTGAATGTGAATGTGATGGGATTGAGGAATGTGCTGTCGAAGAAATTGAGGAATTGTTTGATGAAGACGTTACCTTGTCGGAGGTAGAAGCAGCCTTTGATGTGTTTGACGAAAACAAAGATGGGTTTATAGAAGCAAGAGAGTTGCAAAGTGTGTTGTCCTCTCTGGGGTTAGTCAAAGATTTGATGGAGTGTCAGAAAATGATCAATGCAGTTGACAAAAATGGTGATGAACTCGTTGATAGAACTGAGTTTGCCAGAATTATGGAACAGAGTTTCGGCTGAATCTTTTGCTGGGTGTGTGTTGAGTTGAGATTTGTTAAATGTTTTTACTTAACTCTATTTACCTTAATTTTTGTAATTTACCATAAATTAATAATCTCATGTACTTTCTATGATTTTAATTATAAATCTGGTTTCATCAATCATCGTTTACTTATAATCTAACATCATCCCATCTTAATCAATTGTTTGCATTCTTTTGAGTAAGTAGTATTAATACCAGCTTCTTCCTGCATTTCCTACTCTTTTCACTACGTTTCCAAACTTTCTCTTATTATTTAAACTACCCTTTTAATAAGGCTAAATTTTTTTATCTCTCATAATTTCCTCATCCACCTACACCCACTTTTTCTTAACTATGTATCCTTCGAAATCCAGTTCAATAAATTACTAAATTTTAAAATTGGATTAAAAAACTTTTTCAAATTAAGTTACAAATTTCGAAATTCCATTAATGTAGTTACTAATTTCAAAATCCAACCTTAAATTCTTGTGATTTTGAAATCTAATATTCAGTTTATCTAGATTTCAAAATTCAAACTTTTTCCAGCTTTCAAAATCCGATTCTCATCTTATTAAAGTTTTTTAAAATCCAATAATTATTTTCAAACCTGACACTTCATTGTTTTTATTTCTATTTTTGAATATTTTTTGTTTTTAATTTTTTTAAATGTGTTTTAGCTTAATAAATTATATTTTAAAATAATAAAATATTAACATATATAAAAATATATTAAAATATTAGATTAAATTATAATAATTAACTTATATTAAATAATGATGATAATAGTAATAAATAAGAATAATAATAATAAATGTTTCAAAATTAAGTGAGTTTGGAAGATTTTTTTTCAAAATCTTGTAAGTTTCTGAACTAAATTTCAAAATTTGATAAATTTTTTAATTAAATTTCAAAATCTGATGATTTTTTAAATAAAAAGTTTAGTTATTTTTTAAATTGGATTTTGAAATCTAATGAAAGGAATTGTAAGACTAAGAAAAACAGAGTGGTAGGTTATGAGGTAATTATGGGAGAGAAAAACAATTACCCTTATCAGAATGTAGTTTAAACATGAAGAGATAATTTGGATGTGCAGAGAGAAAACTTAGTGGTGTATATAGAAGTACCTTTAGTACAATGCTAGTGTCAATTATGAAGTTCATTGGGCTTTCTTTAAAGCCCAAATTATTAGACCCAACAAGTTTTGCAGGCACCCCTTTCCTTGAACAGACCCAAAAAAATGAAAAAACTTTGTCCCGACCATTTGTTGTTGCACCTCCATCTTTTCTTTATTGCAGCACCCCCCATAATCTTTGAAATACCAGTTATGTCCTTTTGCGTAAAAGGAAAATCATCAACTAAAATATATTGAATATTATGAAATAAAAAAATGATTAAAAAATTGTGAAATCTGCCAAAAATCTTGAATAAATTTTGACTAAGAAAAGAGTGGTATAATGATTAGCCTTAAATCATGTGCAGTAGACGACCTGCTCAAGCATTCAGTCAAACAGTTAGACTGCATAATGGAAGGAGATAAAAGTTTATCTACTACAGATAAGTTGGTAGCAGTGCAAACATTTATCAGGTTCAAGTATCTTAACAATTTTTCATTATTTTATTAGTTTGTGTCCTATATCACACTACCTTACTATAAAAGGTTTAATTCATAATTTGTTCTTAATTTTTGTTTTTTTCATTTGTTTTAGTCTTAATAATTTTTTATTAATTTTTAAGTCTTATTTTGTTTTAAATAAATTCAAATTTGTTCCTTTTCTTAGATTTATATAAATGTTGTTAAATTGAAGTTACAACTATCTTTATAAACCATACATGTCAATTTGTATAATTTTTTTTAATATTTTAATTTTTAATTTTTTTTCATATCAAATTAGTGTCGTAATGATAATGCTACATGTCCAAAACACAAAAGAATAATTCCTAGGAAAAATTGAAAGAAATCTAAAAAAATGATTTTTAAAGATGATATATTTTAAAATAATAAAATTCGTTTATAATTAAACTATTTATATTAAAATAATTTAATTTTAAAGTAAATGAGTTTCAATATTTTTAACCTACTACCAATCCTAAAATAACATTTTATAGATTTTTACAAATATTGTGTATTTTTGTTAGAAGAATTAAATTAAAAATGAATTAACAAAGAAAAATATACTTTTTAATTTCTTCAAATTTTAAGATTTAAAAATTACAAGAAAAACTTTATTTTTATATTTTTAATATTTTGTTTAAGTTTTTCTATAATTGAGTTGGTTCATGTAGCGCATATTTTCATTAAAACTTTAAACAAATTTCAAGTTTAAAATAAGTATTTTTTATTTTAATTTAAAAATTTAAAATTAAGTTTAATATTTAGGTGAAGTGATTTGAAGTATAAATTTTAAAATATTATTTTAACATGGATATATAAGATATAATTTGGTTTAACTCATTTGATATCATTTTGAAAGCAATAACATTGTCTAATATAAAAAAAATAATTAAAATTCAGTTGAATCAAAACTTAAATATAAAGTCTAACACTGTTATGTGACATTAATATTTATACATGGTAATGATACTGCCAAGACACACCTTAACAATTACATGAATTTAAAAAGAAAATTAAAAAGATAAACAAAAATACTATGAACTAACAGGTGTTATTTAAAAAAAAGATATTAATGTCAATTAAACACTTTTTAAACAAATATAATAAAATAATTAAGTTGAATTAATTTAATACAAAATAAGACTTAATTAAAGTAAAAAATATTAAAACCAAAACAAATCAAAACAACAAAGACAATTCAACCTATATGAAAATGAAGTGAAATTAGATTTAATTTAAATAATATAAAGTTTAGGTTTGATATATTATGAGAAAGTAGTGAAAATATAGTTGGAAAGTGGGATAAGGAGGAAAAATGGATGAAAGCAAATGAAAATGAATAGACAAAGGGTGTCATTTTCAGAGACGATGAAGGTCAACCTCTTGCAACTGCTAATGTGTTGGAAGTGCATGAAGAAAAAGCCATTCAACTACTCTCCAATTCTTTTTTCCTCACTTTCTCACTTGTTTCATTTTAATAGAAACACTACTATTAAGGTTGTTTCTCATTATTTAGTACACCTTCTTCCCTCCTCATTTTTTTTTCCATAAATGTTATCATAATGTCTTTATTCCAAGGACCCTCCTAACTCTTAACCACTCACACAACTATAATACTCTCATTACTTATTTAATTAAATTAATAAGCACAAAAATCTTTAAATGAAACATAAAATGAAAGAATAGTATTTTTTGTTTAATAATTTTAAAATTTTTATTTGAATATAATAAAATTTATGTAGTATTGGTTGAACTATCTATTGTATCTATTATAATTCTCTTATTTGACATTTACGTGCCATGAGATTTTATTTCTCTATCATCATAACTAATTTCCTTTTGTTCATATACATTAGGAGTATGATTAAAATATATATTATCTTAAATTTTAAAAAATAGAAGATAAAATTGACAACTGAAAAGAAACTGAAGGAGTATTTATTATATACCAAATTTTTTTAATTTTGCAAATATAAGTACATTATTATTATAATTATAGAATGTGTTAAATAAATGATAAATAAGATTTTGAATTTAGCCTAAAGCACCATTTTTAGACTATCGGATGCTCTTAAAGTAGTGTCTTATAAAGGGTTAGAGCATCGGGCACCAATCTATTTTCAGCATTGAGTTGTTTAGGAGAAATTGATATTCTTTCTTCATTAATTGTTGATCAAACTAAAATTTTGACAAATGGTCTTAGACATATGAATATGTAGTTTGACCATTGAAATATTTGATTGGAAACTTAAGGTTAGAGTAATATTATTTATCGTTTCGATGTATTTAATGAAAATCTTGTAAGTGAATATTATGCTAAAGTATTAGAAAATAAATTATGTATTATTAATGTTTCAATTGAATTAAACAATATGTGATGAGTTTGGATAGAAGTAATAAACATATGCATGACATGGTGTGATAATTTAAAATTTGTATGAAAATGCATGTATTGTATGAGCATGGTATGTTCAATATCAAGGTAGATTTGATATAATTCTTTAGGGTATGCATCTAAGTGAGGATAAAAATGGAGATTATTCGGACACTCTACTCACCATTTAGACTCATGTAGAGAATAATGAGTTATGTGGTAAGAGTAGTCGAAGATCTTAGTCTAAGAAAGGTTCTAGGGTTCTCATGACGGGAAAAAGATTAACATTGTGTGCAGTAGGATGAAACTCATTTGCAATGCATGTATCCAAATAATTAAGTTTAGAAAATTCATTTGATGCATGATATATGGTGTGAGATCTATTTGAACTGTATGATGCAATATTATGATATGATTATTGGTGTACAATGTTCCTTTTGTAAAATAGTTTACCCTTTTGTTTTTGATAGTTTTGTTGTGTTTTGGTTTTTCTTCTTTTTGTAATGATCACTTTTTTTTGTGAGTAGAGAAAGATAAATGTTTAGGGACACTGTATAGTATGACACCCCAGTCAGCCACGGATCGACCAGTCAACATACCTCTCGATCCAATGCGAAACAACTGGTTGGTCGGTCAGTCAAACCATAGACAAGATTAGCAATGAGAATAATTATGTTAACACTAAGTTGGTCCATTACTGTTTAGGTCGTGATTAAGTCAGCACTAAACAAAAGTCCATCCCAAAATCTATAATTAATACAGGTTTTATATATAGGTAGTTGGTTACTTACTCATTTATTGTCAGAGTATTCAGACAAACACTGACTTTAGCATCAAAGTACTTTTTGTAGATAGCACCCGGTTCAACCGAGCGGTAGAGATGATCGAAGACAAAACATTGACCTTAGCTTGGAACTTGGAGGATATTTTCGAAAGAAGACTTAACCTCGACCGTATAAACACCTTTAGGGGATGAGGATCCAGATGTTTGAATTGATAGAAGATATGAGTTG